AAAATACAGAAAAAAAAATTTTTTTCAAAAAAAAAAATGTTTTTTTAAAAAAAAATTTTTTTTTTCAAAGAAAAGTTATTTTTTGTCCAATTTATAGTTTCTCAAAAATCTTATTCTTTCAAAGTAATTTTTTTTCAAAAATGTTAATTGTTTTAAAAAAATAATAATTTTTGGTACGGGAAGTTCCAGCAATTTGCCTTAAGGCACGATGCCTTAATTGCCTTAAGACAGAATTCCACTTACAGCTAGTTTAATTTTATTTTCTATTATATTTTATTACTTGCGTATTTATTCAATCCTGTATTGCGACTCCTGCAGTTTTCCCATGTTTTCCCTACTTTGTACTCGCAAAGCGAAACCCATCATCGTACATTAGCGCTCCGGTGCGCTACTAGCGGCGGCGGCGGCTCGCCTGTCGTAAATGTCCGGAAAACGTGACGCGAATGCGGCTAAAGGACACGCATCTGCTGAAATATTGCAAAACCGGACACGTGGACACGGAAAATGGACATCGGATATCTATATCTAGTTGGAAGAACACTTAGAAGCATTAGATATTTTATTGTTGATATTATGTTTACTCATTATTTCATTTAATATGTTGTCTTAGGGGACGTCCATTAATCACTTGATTGATTTTTTAGAGATTTTGGATCCTCCTCCACCTTGGTGATACGCCGTGATAATTAGAATTAGCCACCCTCCTTCCCCCACCAAACATCACGTGCATTTTTAGTTACGTAAAATTTTTCGAATTCACAAAAAAATCGTATTTATTTTCAAGATGTTTGAATTTTTTTTAAAAAATTCAGTTAAATAATAAATACACGTGATATCTTACTAGACCCCACGTGATGTTTCGTGATTTTTTGTCAAATCCCCCCTCCCCCTAAAAGACTCACGTGATTAATGGATGCCCCCTTACTATGATCTATTAACTGCCCGAAGAAGAATTTACTGATTTTATATTTTTTCGACGTTTCAAGCCATTCTGAATCGAATGAGACCAAATTTGGAAAAAGTATGTATGCGTATGTTTGAATCATTCGGATCGGATGTTTATTCTCTCAAAAACTTTCATGTTCTACACGTTTAGCTCCTTACTTCTGAAACGGCTGGACCTGTCTATTCCAAAAACTGATCACCACGTCTTGTTATTATTACGAATTGAATGTTTTTTGAAACATTTAAATTGGATGCACTATTCTCTCAAAAACTTAATTTTCATTTTCTGCACTCTGCTTTGTATATCTGTTTTTCTCAAAAACTAATCAGCACTAATCTCCATAAGTAGAAATCGAATGCTTTTTTAATCATTCAAATCGGTTGAGCGGTATTCTCGAAAACAGCGATGAAAAATTGTATCCACACATACACACACATGCCAAAATATTCAGAAAGCCCTAAAACGTGAAAATATGCAAAAATTTTCAATTTTCAATTTGTGGACGATTACAATAACTTACCCTACAAGATGTTAAAAAGTATATATGTGTGTGTGTGAATGTGAGCCAATTTTTGACCTTTTGTCGATGTTTTCCCAAAAATGGCGAGGCCGACTAGCGTCTATCATTTCTGTGTAGCTGAGGCGTTTCTTTTTAGAAGTAAAAATGCGTAAAATGTTTGAGCCCACAATCCTGAATCTAGTTAAAAATTTAAAAGCCCGTCAAAAAGATTTGGTTGATTAGTTTTTGATTAACATCGGCCGGGTTGTTTTCTTGTTCTTAACAGTTGAAATTTTTTTTTTGACTATTGCATGAAACTTTTTTGACGATAGATATCATGGTCTTATAGAACTTACTAAAATAATACGGCTCTATGACAAGTCGTTTAATTTTAAAAATTCATCGAAGTTTGAAAAATGCCTAGTAGTTTTTATCACGTTTGTCAAAGTTAGACCTTTCATCCGCGATTCCTCAAAAACTGCTGAATCGATTTCTAAAATTTTGAAGCCAGTCGACAATGTATGATAAGCAATCACAATTATAAGTTTTTTTATATGCCATCGATGAAGCCATTTCTTTAGAATTACAAAAGTGCAAAAATTTTCTTCCGCTCTTTAGCTAAAAATCATGAATCAATTTTGAAAATTCAAAAACTATTCGAAAGATATAATTTGGAAAACGTGCTATTTATTTTTTGGCAAACATCGGCCAGGTCTTTTCTTCATAATTGATTGTTCAAAGTATATATCTCGACAATTTTAATGAATCTTTATATGACGGTAGTGTACCTTTGATGGTATTAAAGAATATATCAAAATACTTTGGTTTTAGAAAATACTCCGAGTAAGTATAAGAGATGTATTTGTAATAAATAATGTGTAATAAAAAATTGAATTATTTTATTTGCATATAAATTACAACCAGTCTATAAATACACAAATACAAATTTTAATGATTTATCTTTAATTTTGTACTACATTCTAATCAAATTTTCATATTATATATCTGAACTAAATATAAAAACGAAGTTGACAATATTTCGAAAAGTAGTATTAGTATTGGTAGTAGTAGTATCTTCTTTTTATTATTTTTATTATAATGAGTATAATTTCTACCAGTTAGCCATTTATAAATTTTTTCTCTACTCTGTAGAATTCAGTGCATGGCGTAAGGAAGAGACTGACGGACCCTTTTCCTTTCTGGAAGAAATTGGGATGGTTCATCTTCATTAATATTTCAGGTGATTTTAAGTTGATAACATTTTATTATTTAATATGGCACACTTCTCAAAAGACACGCAATTCAACTTCTTTCGCTCTTTGACATTAACATCGAATCTTAATGGCAAAGTTTCTGATAACTCTTTTTTCCAATAGCTGATAATGTAATTGGATAAATTGGATTTATTAAGTATTTATGAGGAATTGTTCTGCAAAAGTGGATGTTCACTGTTTAGTAAGCAAACAACAAGATTAATTTATTTATTGGCATCCCCATATATCCAGTATGCATTATTTTATCGTATATTTAATAGTATTTTGCAGTACGCGGCTGTACGAAAAATTGGGGACGTGTTTTTCCCGAAAAACTATATTCTGTCCTGGATATTTTCTTTCGGAATTGGAATGTGTTTTACGACAAAGTTTTATGTTTCCGCCGAGGCGGGCATCGGATCGCATAAAATTCGGAATAAAACTTGCAATTTCATCCTGACTCACGTGTGTTTGTGATTGGACGCACATCGTACGATATCAATTGAAATGTGATATCGGACATCTTAAGAAAAAAAAACAAATAAAAAATTTACACAAAGCATATATGACACAAAATTGGAAATTGCCGCCTAAAGACATTCCCTTGAAGTACAGATAAGTTCTGTTTCTTTTTGCAAAAAAAAAATACAAATATTCTATTAGGTTTCTGAAGAGGTAAACATATATTTAATATGTTGGAATATTTATATTTGCAAAGGTAACATATTGTAGCTTCACAAATTGAAAAATAAAAGGATATTTTATGAAGTGGGTAACACACTTTTGTGGGTAAACATAACATCTGATATCACTACTGCTTAATATCAAGCTGGCCGAGGAGGGTATCGAACCCTGAAAAGATTATGCAAAGATTAAATATTTAAAAATATTAATTAAATATAAATGTTGATGCATTTAAAAGTTTACATCTAATAGTAAGGGTCCACTTTATGCCGGTAAACTTGATGAATATTAATTATTTATGTATATTAAAACATTTTATTAATTATTATAATATATAGATATATATATATATTAATTTATATTTAATAATATAATAAATATCTTATTATTAGTAAAATATTAATATAATTAATAACTATTCCTGTTATTTAATAATATAGAAACAATTTAGTTATCAATAAATTGTAGTCGGTGAACTTAATGATTATTATTTTATATATATTAAAAAATTTCCTTAATTATTTTAATAATACTTTTTTTTCTAGTAATCAATATTTAAATTGTACTTCAATAAAATATACGAAATTATATTTGTTATAATGGAAATACAAGTTCCTTAAGATTTATGTACTTTTTTTAAGTACTGATAATTATTTATCTAAAAAAATAGCTTTATACTTGATATAAAATAGATGATGAAATGCTTTTAATATAACATTTATTTATAAAATAAATTGTATGTAAAACAAAGAATGAGAGTAATTTTTTACTAAATTTAAATTCAGATTTATATGTTATTTTATGTTTTTGTAAACTTCATATTTTTTTTATTTTAACTAGTACTTTATAAATTATTTTATATTAAAGTTATTACAAATAATAATTCTTAAATTTTGCCTTGGGATGTTTCTGAATAATTATACTATGTTTGCAATGAATTTTGTATTAAAGTAGCTGTATATACATATAAAACATACCTATACTAATAAATTATTTTTCGAAATATTTCAAAGCAAACGTTTTTGTTTGCTAATTCATAATTGCATCAATTAGTTAGCAAAGTTCATAAAATAAATTGTATGCAAAACAAGAAAGTGTTAGTTCATTTTTTATGTTTTTACTAACTTTAAATATGGAATTATATGTTTCATGTTTTTGTATACTTCATATGTTCATTTAAACTAGTAGATTATAAATAAATTGTTTTATATTAATTAAATTATAATAATTATATTACATATGATAATTTTTAAATTTTGCCTTGAAATGTTCCCGAATAATTATGCTTATATATGATTGAAAATACAATGAATTTAATATCAAACTAGCTGTATATACACAGAAACATACCTATACCAATAAATTATTTATTTAAAAATTATAAATCAAATGTTTTAGTTTACCAATTCAAAATTACATCAAATCTTTGCCATTTAATTACTCGTTAGTATTGATTTTAAATTTTCGCGCTCAAAAAAGCTGAAATTTTTCCGTGATGTCAATATTCCAAAAGCACCAACATTAAAACATTCTTTATTTTTTCTCTTCTATTATACAGACACGTGAAGGAGCTGTCGCTTCTATTCTTAAGGTTTAAATTCAGATCAATTCTATATTTAAAGTTAGTACAATAGTATTTATATAGATAATAATCCATGTGTAATATTATGTATTCCATGTGCCTATAAAAACAATATATTTTAGAATTACATTGCGTGAAACTCTCATATGTCATTGTGTCAATTTTGAGGTATCTCTAGGTAACGCATACTTAATTTGGCGTGAAATGTGATAACTCGGAAATTATAGTTAATAGTGTTATTGATCCCAGAAACTGTACGATTGTTTTAAATTTGAAGTGATGATATTAATGTCAATTTCAACATAACCTATAATTTACTTATTTCGCTATGTCAGTGATAATTTTTTAAATAATCTATTTCGATGGAGCATTTTCGTGATATGCAATTTTTTATTTCTTATTTCCATATCTAAGTGAGGGGTTTCTTCGAATTAAATTAATTTCCTTTGCAATCTGTCAAATAATACCTATTCCGAATTTTTAATTGAATTATTGTTAGTTTCAGAACAATCTTGAGCCTTTATCATGCCTTCTGATGCCAAAAAACGTGAACAGCAACGCAAGAAGGAGCAAGCGAAAGCCAGACAGGCTGGCAAAAAAGTTGCAACTAAAAATGGTGAAGAAAATGACAAAGAACAATCTCCAGCCCCCAACCAAACTAATGGAGTGAAAAGTAATGGAACTACAGAGCTCTCTGCAGAAGGTTGTTAAAAAACAGCTATGAAAACTATATTCTTTATTAGGTTTGAAATGCAGTAATCCTATATTTTATTATTGCAGAAATTCTTTGTGCGAAACTGGAAGCAGAAGCAAAATTGAATTCTGATGCCAGGTCTTGCACAGGATCTTTAGCTGTCCATCCACGCTCAAGGGATATTAAAATAGCTAATTTTTCTGTAACTTTCTATGGTTGTGAATTGCTTCAAGACACTCTTTTAGAATTAAATTGTGGGAGGAGATATGGTCTTTTAGGCCTTAATGGAAGCGGTATATATAACTTGTTCAAATAAAATAGCTCTTATTACAAAAATATTATTTATTATACTTTTAGGCAAATCATCACTATTGTCTGTTCTTGGTAATCGTGAAGTACCAATTCCTGAGCATATAGACATCTTTCATTTAACTAGAGAAATGCCTGCTAGTGATAAATCTGCTTTGCAATGCGTTATGGAAGTTGATGAAGAAAGGGTTAAACTTGAAAAATTGGCTGAGGAACTTGCACAGTGTGATGATGAAGGTTTATATTATCATATATATCTTAAGATAATTTGTCTTTAATAAGCTCGAGATATGAGTCAGTATTAAAACTTATTATTTAATGTATGAAATACTCTTCCAGACTCTCAAGATCAATTGATGGATGTCTATGAACGCTTGGATGATATGTCTGCGGATACGGCTGAGGCAAGGGCTGCACATATATTACATGGTCTTGGATTTACAAAAGAAATGCAAAACAAAGCTACAAAGGATTTCTCTGGAGGTGATTTAAATTTGATTTTATATGTACATTTACATCTTACAAGTCCTCTGTAAGAAACTATAATTCTGTTATTTATCTATATAGGATGGCGTATGAGAATTGCTTTGGCTAGAGCCTTGTATGTTAAGCCACATCTTTTGTTACTTGACGAACCAACAAATCATTTAGATCTTGATGCATGTGTATGGTTAGAAGAAGAATTGAAAAGGTATGTGTGCCTTTGCACAATTTTGTACTTCAAACTTGATAATATGAAGTCATATTTTGTTTTGTTTTTAGCTATAAAAGAATTCTGGTAATTATATCACATTCTCAAGATTTTCTTAATGGCATTTGTACAAATATTATACATGTTACTAAGAAACGCCTCAAGTACTATACTGGTAATTATGAAGCGTTTGTTAGAACTAGAATGGAATTATTAGAAAATCAAATGAAACAGTACAACTGGGAACAAGATCAGATAGCACATATGAAGGTAAATGTTAAAATCTGATAAGTTCACATTTTAGACTACAATTTTTTTGTCTAATGATATACATATGCAATTTTTAGAATTACATTGCAAGGTTTGGTCACGGTTCTGCAAAACTAGCCAGACAAGCTCAATCTAAAGAAAAAACTTTGGCTAAAATGGTTGCCCAAGGTCTTACTGAAAAAGTAACTGATGATAAGGTTCTTAACTTTTACTTCCCTAGTTGTGGCACTGTGCCTCCACCGGTCATCATGGTGCAAAATGTTAGTTTTCGTTATAATGAAAGTACACCATATATATACAAAAATTTGGAGTTTGGTATTGATTTGGATACAAGGCTGGCTTTGGTTGGTCCTAATGGAGCAGGAAAGTCCACGCTACTCAAATTGCTGTATGGTGATGTAAGTATAAACATTTGATCTATAATATTTCTTTATCCAAAATATTTTATCTACTTATCAGACATATATAATTTTTATTTCAATTTGTTTAATACAGATGTAATTATATATTGTCCTTTCAGTTGGTGCCTACATCCGGGATGATAAGAAAGAACTCTCATTTGAGGATAGCTAGGTATCATCAGCACTTGCATGAGTTACTGGATATGGATTTGTCACCATTAGAATATATGATGAAAGCTTTCCCAGAAGTTAAGGAACGTGAAGAGATGCGAAAAATTATTGGTCGTTATGGACTTACTGGAAGGCAGCAAGTAAGAATCCCTCTAAGAAAAATGATTAGCCAAAATTTATTTTAATTACAAAACTAATTATAATCAAATTTATAGGTTTGTCCAATTCGTCAACTCTCTGATGGTCAACGTTGTAGAGTGGTATTTGCATGGCTTGCCTGGCAAGTCCCGCATCTTCTTCTACTTGATGAACCTACCAATCATTTGGATATGGAAACAATTGATGCCTTGGCTGATGCCATCAATGACTTTGATGGTGGCATGGTTCTAGTTTCTCACGACTTCAGGCTCATTAATCAGGTATTTACCTTATAATCTATAGATCATATCATGAAGGTTTCTCATATTTTAGTTGTTTTTTTTTTATTAAGAGTTCTTCAAAATAAATTTATTTAATAATTTTATAGGTCGCTGAAGAGATTTGGGTTTGTGAGAACCAGACATGCACAAAATGGCAAGGGGGTATTTTGAAGTACAAAGATCACCTCAAGAGCAAAGTTCTGAAGCAAAATGCTGCTAATCAAGCAAATTTAAGAAAATAGTTCTTTCAACTAATTCACTAGAAGAATGTACATCTGTTATTTTGCAATGCTGGAGTACTTTTTACAAGCTTTCTTTATTAATTGTTTTCTGATATATTTTTGTTAAAACATGACTTCAGTAAGATGTTACTATATTCATTCTAATAATATTTGGTATTACAATGGTATAAAAGAAAATTGAATATAGCACTTCAAAAAGAATGTTTTATTTTTTTCCTTACATATAACATAAAAATAAAATTATAAAATTACTTATTTCTAAACAGTTATGCTAAATTCGATCTAAAGCTTCTACCATGACTATGCTGTTTCCTCGAATCACCTGCAATAAATTAATTGACATGTTGTTTATGTGCATTAATAAAAGTATTTGAATTGTTTTGAGTAGAATACTTACAACCATTCCAATTTGATTTCTACCCCCATCCTTAAGTTCTTCTACTGAATCATCGACTACAAGATTCATGAATGGATCAAATCCACGAAGCACTCCAGTCACTGATCTACCACCATTTAATTTCAATGACAGCCTTTTGTCCATAAATCTGTAAATAATCGTTTAAATTACATGAGTCTAACCTAATTTATAAATTAAATATATATGTAAACACGCACTTTTTTAACTCTGGTGGATGTGCTTTTGACATTTTGGAGAAATTCTTTAAGAATTATTCGACGAGTTGTAACAAACAAATATGTACTGTAAAATTATTAAATATTAGCAAAACTCGTTCGACGCGAGGCATTTAATCGCAGGAAAGTATTACCAGCATTGAAAATGTCTGCCATTAATGAAAAAATACATGTTGCCAACAGATAATCATTTTTAATGTTTACGCATATTTATTGCAAAAAATTAAAGTGTATTTTCCAGAATATATTTGCATTATAATGTAGATAATAAATATACATATTTTAATGTAATATATTTTTATGATAATAAAGTAATTCAAACAAACGTAACATTTTTCTAAGGTGGTAGCATTGTTGCAAAACAGAACAATGATGTCACATTCACATATGTTCACATGTATATAGTTTATGTTGTCAAATATGTACATAGAAAATATTTAAATAAAAGTCCGGCAAAGTTAATAGAAATAACTAATGTAACATTTTTAACTTAGCTATAGTATATAAATGTTTGTTGTTTGGAGTATTATGTTCATTTATGTTTGAAAAACCAAAAGCAAAAAAGTTAATGTTTGAAAAACCATAATTTATTTTATAACCTAACCCGTTTAATGCGTAATTTTTATTTATATGATGGAAAGTAATATATTATCATTAAAATCAATTATTGATTTGCCTCAAACGTTGATCTCAAAAATTGACATTGATGAGCAATATAATGGTATCAGATATTCGTTATTAGTTTCTTCTCTGTTCAACCAAACCTATAACACTTTAATGTGGTATTATTGCAGATTCTGAAGTACAAGGAGGGATAATAGAAAATAGCAAATATTGTTGGATTGCTTCTGGAGCGATTCTTGAAATATTTTGCATTAAAACTGGCTCCAAAATTGCATCTTGGAAGTTCGGATCATTTTATAAGTAATATAAAATCTATCTAATACTATCACTAAATGTTGTTATATATAAGTTTCTAATTAATTCTGCATATACTTTTATTAGGAGTCAGTATACCTGTATAACAAGTATTTGCAAAATACCCATTTCTGAAGAATTTGGATCCTGTTTACTTGCCATAGGATTATGTCACGGTGTAAATGATGGAAGCATATGTATTTTTGCAATACAAGGTTGCAGAATATTGTTAGCAATTAATATTGGTGAACCCGTGAGTTTGTTTTTGTAATACATATTTTGCATAATATTGTAATAATATTTTTTGATCAAAACCCAGTAGTATATTCCAAAATATATTTGCTAAATTTTGAGAAGTTTAGTTTTTTTTTTATAAATGGTTTAGTATAGTAATTTAAAGAAAATTTTGAATGGTAATTTTAATACAATTACTCTGATATCAAATTTACTTTGGAAGGATTATAATATTTAAAGATTGTAGGTCACAAAAATATGCCTAGTTGATTCTGGAGGAAATTTAGCTGGTCCTTTATCTGCCTTTGATGGAGTCTTAGCTGTTACAACAAATAAAGAAAATGCATATTTAATCGATCTTTGCAGGCAGATTTGTATTGATGGTTAGTTAGTTGCAATATGCTTGAAATATTTTAAAACTGGTATGTATTATATATATATATATATATATATATATATATATATATATATAAATAACATCTAAGTCTGTTTTTACACGGAGATTGGTTCCAGAAGAATCCGTGTAAAAAAAAAAACGTGTAAAAAAAATATTGATCTTATACAAAAATGGGTGATTTGTTCCTAATCTCTAAAACCTATTAAAATTGGTGAAAAACAAGAATTTTTAAGAACAAGAATTAAATTAGTGCTATTCACATTTGCTTTGACCAGTAAAAATTGTTTGTAGGCGCTAAAGGGGAATTCACTTAAATCTTTAAGCTAGTGTTCGCAAACTATCGATACTATCGATGGTTTCAGACTTTTTTCTTTCATAAATACTTCTTTGTGATATGAACATACTTCGCAGAAATTTAATTTGACAAAAAAAATTTAGGTACATAAAATTTCAAATTGTGCTAAATGGAATAAATTCGTGTAAAAAAATTAAAAATATTCAAGTTTCAAACCGTGTTATATCAAAACCGTGTACAAAAAGACCGTGTAAAAACAGACTTAGGTGTATATATATATATATATATATATATATACATATATATATATATATATATATTGATTTGCGCTCGATCTAAAAGACAATATTAAGAGCTAAAACTTTGAGAGAATTGTTTTTTATCAATTTGGAACCATTTGAGCCCCTGGGAGCAAGGAAATTTGAAAATTCCATATTAAGGGACTCCCTAATATATTATATTATATATATATATATATATATATATATATATATATGTATTCAAAATTATATTTTATAGCCCTTGAATTGGGACCTGAATATGGATTTGATGAGTATCACATAAGACAGTGTGCAAAAGTTCGTCCAAATGCCAATTATGAACTTCTGAAGGAATTAGCAATGGCAAAAGATGAACACATAGCCCTAAATATTTACTGTAAGTAGAATTAGATATTTCAATGTTGATTGTAATTGTTTCTTAATTAGTCAGATAATATAGTAATTACTAACAATTTAACGTAACAAATATGACAATAATACTTAGATCTTTATTTTTGGTCAATTACTTTGATACTTGTTTCAATCATTCTATTTGTACTGATTGTTAAAGAATATTTTAAAACAATTGATTGTTTACATTATTGTTTATTTCAGCTGTAGACATCATAGGATCAGTTACAAGTTTATTGATGGTGCAACAAATATCAGCTCTTGTTATTGGTAGCAATACAGGCGCTTTTGTTATAATTGATCTGATAGGCTTTAAAATTATTTATAAATCAAATCCAATGCACGGTGCTATACTACAAATAACTTTCCAAGTTAGTTTTAAAACAATAATTGTGAAATCAAATGTAATATTCATAATAATGCATTCTTCACTTTATTTTTTGAGGAACCTTCTGATGATCCACGAGCTCACTGTTTCCTGTGGACGCTTCATTCAAATGGTACAAAAACCACAGCCAATTTTCATCAATTAATTTATAGATCGAAAGATTCTTCTGGCTTTTGTAGATATCAGGTATATATATTTTATATTAACAGCTTTGTGTATATTTAGCTGTATATGTCTAATAGATATTTTATAATTTTTAGGAGTTTTTGAATTGCAATTTGCAATACACCATGGTTTTGGGGAAGATTGAATCTCGAATTATTTCTTGTCAGGTCATACAAAAGCTTTTTCAAGATGAGTGTAAGCATTTCTCCAATATTTATAGATTTTTGTAGTATGTAACCATCTTTCTATTAATAGATTATAGATTACAATAATAGCTATTTCAAACCTGATATAATGTAAATGAAACTTTTATATTAATTTTTACAATTTCAGGTGCTATAAGCGTATGTACATTTTCATGGATTGCAGAAAATAAATTATATTTATGTATTTTCGATATAGATCAATGGTACAAATTTGGAATGGGTAATTCAAGTAAGTGTTGATAATATAAAAATTTTGATATGTATATTTTCTAAAATATTTTCTTCTTTCAGATATTGAGTCAAGATTAGAAAAAATTGTTTATAACAAATTTCAGATTAAATTAGATCTTGATTATACAAAGCTTAGAGATATAAAATTAAGCACTAATACATTAAGCTTGTTCAAATCGTGCCAAGCTTTTGATGAATATTATCATCCTGGTTCTCTGACTTTTGGTATGGTCTAACAAATATTTCATAACACATTTTTTATGTATATAATGTTATATATTCTTAAATTTGATTTTTAGATTGTGATGTATTGAGCATTTCAAAAAACTTTTGTTTCCATTGGCCTGGTTCTCAAAAGCAAATTCTACAGAAATTATCAAATATGGGTTCAGCAGGATTGATAGCACCAGAATCATTATATCTTGAATGTTTGAGAACGCATCTGATACCATTATTTCATGATAATTCATTTGATTGTGAAACTTCGACGGTGAGTAAAAATAATATTAAAAGAATTTGTTAAAAATAAAGTAAATCACATAGTGATTGAGATAAAATACAGTTGGTAATGAACAGATTTTTTTTACCATGTGTTTTAGATTGAGCAACGTGAAATGCTGTTGTCTATTGCCCTTGATTATGGATTCA